CATTGTTATTATTATCATTATTATCCTCATTATTATTATCATTATCATTATTGCTATTATCATTATCAATATCATTACCATCATCATGACTACTATTATCATTATCATCATTAGTATTTGCGTTGATATTATCATTATTGTTATTATCGCTATCATTATACTTATCATTATTATTTTCATTATTATCATTATCATTACCATTATCATAATTATCAATATCAAAATTATTATCATTGCTATAAGTGTTATTATTATTATCATTATCATTCTTCTTACTATTATTATTGCTATTATCATTACTACCATTAATATTGCCATTATTGTTTTTATTATCATCATTATTATCATATCCATCATCATTATTGTTATCATCATCATTATCATTATCATTATTGTTATCATTATTATTATAATTACTACTGCCACTACTACTATCATTTATCAAATTATTTAATTGATATCTGTATGCACTATTAATCGTACAGCTACAATAATTATCATTACTATTGTTTAATAATAATTAGCAATAGTGTGAGAGTATTATCTGCATAATCATGATAAATATCACTATTATTCCCGTTATCTGATTATCATCCTTATTGTTATTCATAATAAGGATTTTATTTCTACGATTGCTGTTGCTGCTTTTAATATTATCATTTTGTTAATATTGCCGTCATTATAATTATTATTTCTGTTTACTATCATGATTGGCAATGTAATAAAATAATCATTATTAAAAGCGATGGTATAATAGTAGTAGTACTTCTTTATCATCATAGTAATTAATAATACTTTGATTGTTTATATTCTTATCTTACCGCTATAAATAAAAACTGCATTTTCACCGTTTTAATATAAAGATTATCTTCATTATTTTGGTATTAATTTAACAACGTTTATCATCCTGCTATTATCACTAAAATGTATTTGATTTCATCTTAACCATAGCTAATCTTCCTTATCATATCTACCATCATTATCATCATCATTACACTTGTTATCCTATTTACTACCATCTCTGTGATTCCAATTATAAAGAGATTATTTTGATCACAAATCTGATATCAACACTGCTATCATGATCTTCATTGGTTCATTAATTTCATTATCAGTATCACTATTAATTTCATTAATTAATTTCATTATCAGTATTATCAGTATTATATGGTTATTCTCATCACCATTATGAATAACGGTAGTGTTATCATTATCATTTTTATCTTTATCGTCATCATCATTATCATCGTCATCATTATCTTCATCATTACTGTTGTTATTGTTAATTTTATTATCATTATTATCATCATTATCATCATTGTTGTTGTAGTTGTTATTGCTATTATTATTTTTTATTTATTATCATTATTATTATTATTATTATCATTATTATTATATTATTATCATAATTATCATAATTATTATCATTATCCTTATTATCATCATTATTCTTATTGTTGTCACTATGTTCTTATGATTATTATTACTATTAATGATATCATTATCATCATCACCATTACCAACGTCATTATCATTATCATTATTACCATCATTAGTAGTTATTATTACCATCATCATCACTATCATTGTCAGTGTTTTTATTTTCATTATTATTATCATTACTGTTATTATTATTATCATCATCATTATTTTTTCTATCATAATCATCATAATCAATACTATCATTATCAATATTATAATTATTATCATTAATATCAATATTCTTATTATCATTATCATCATAACCATTATCATCATTATTGTTATCATTGTTGTTGTTATTATCGTCATCGTTAATAATAACCATACTAATACTACTGCTACTACCACTAACATCATTATCATTATTGTCGTTATTATCATCATCATCATCATCACGGTTATTAATTTCACAATTTAGTGGGTGTTAGTATCATTATTTCTATTATGATTACTTTTAGTAGTAGTAATAGTAATAGTAGTAGTAGTAGTAGTAGCGGTGGTGGTGGTTGTAGTAGTAGTAGTAGTAGTAGTAGTAGTAGTAGTAGTAGTAGTAGTAGTAGTAGTAGTAGTAGTAGTAGTTATTGTTGTGGTAGTAGTAGTAGAAGTAATATTGGTAGTATTACTATTATGATTATGATGATCATTATTATTATTATTATCATTAATAATATTCTTATTATCTTCATCATTGTTATTTTCATTACTGTTATCATTATTACTGTTATTATAATCATTATTATTATTATTATTATTATTATCATTATCATTATCATCATTATTGTTATCTTTATTATTATCATTATCATTATTATCATCATCATTATCAGTGTTATTACTATTATTTCCATCATTATTACAGTTATTATCCTTATCATTAACATTAGCACTTGCAATAGTAGTAGTAATAGTAGTAGTAGTATTAATAATAATAGTAGCAGTATAGTAGTAATAGTAAAAGCAGTGTCTTTATCATTATTAGTTTTGTTAATAGTACTATTAGTAGGAGTAACAGTATCATTATTGTTATTGTTGTTGTTGTTATTACAGTTGTTGTTATCCTTATTATTACTATGGTTATTATTATTAGCAGCATTACTATCACAAATAATACTATTATCTTTATTACATTTATCATTATCTTTATCGTCAGTATTATTAGTAGTTTTAATATCAACTCCATAATCATTATAATAACTACTAAACATCATTATCATTATTGTTATCATTATCATTTCCATTATTATTGTTGTAGTTGTTGGTAATGTTACTATTGTTACTCAAATTATCGTTGTTAATATTATTATTATTACTATTATCACTATTGTTATCAGAATCAGCAACATCATAAACACTTATGGTAATCATCACTATTATCATTGGTGTTATTGTTATTAATGTTAATGTTATTATCATTCTTATTTCATTATTATCAATATAGTTATTGTTATTATTATCATTATCGTCACCATTATCTTTATTATTAGTAGTAGTGTTACTATTAATAAAGCTATTAGTATCATCATCATGATTATCATTATCATTAACATTATTATTATCATTAAATCATTATTATTATTTATTATTATTATCATTATCATTATTATCATTATTATTATCATTATATTATTATTCATTATTATTATCATTACATTATTATCATTGTTATCATTATTATTTTTGTTATCATTATCATTATCATTGATATCATTATTATCATTATCATTTTTATTTATCATTCTATTATATTATCATTATCATTTTTATTATTATTTATTACTATTAGCATTAGGTAGTCTTTATTATTTAATCATTATATTATCATTATTATCATTCATTATCATCATTACTATTACTATTATCATTGTTTATCATTATCATCTATTATATTATTATCATCATTCATTATATCATTGTTATAATAATTACTATCATTACTATCATTATCATTAGCAGTAGTAGCAGTACATTATACTATCATCATTACTATTATTGTTATTACAGTTATCATCATTATCATTAGTAGTAGTAGTAGTTGTAGCAGTGGTAATAGTTAAAGCAGCAGCAACATCATTATCACCATTATGTGATTATAATTATATCATAAATATTGATAGTTATAGAACCATTATGATCATTATTATTGTTAGTATCATTATCATCCTTATTGTTATTGTAATCATAATGATAGTTATTATTATCATCATTGTTATTATAATTATCATTGTTACTATTATCATTATCATCATTATTATTAGTTATTATCATTATTGTTACCATTATTATTATCATTATCATTATCAGTATTGTTATTATTATTATCATTATTGTTGTTATCATTATTATTATTATTATCTTTATCATTATTATTATTATCATTACTATCATTACCGTTAGTAGTAGTAGTAGCAGTATCATCATTATCATTATCATTATCCTCATCATTATTATTGCTGTTCCTGTTTTCGTTGTTATTTTCATTATCAATCTTACCATCTTTATTACTATTATCCCTGTCATTACAGAAATCATCATGGCTATCATTTAGGATTCCTTTTCGTACGATGATCATAATAAACATCATCAAACTATTTTTTTAATTCTAATTCTCATTATCACCATCAAACAATATTCTATTGGCAGTCTTTAATAAACATCATCAAACTATTTTTTTAATTCTAATTCTCATTATCACCATCTTTATCACTATTAATCAGTTAGATCATTAGCGTTATCCAGTTATTTTTCATTTTGTTTTAATCATATCATCATTATATTCTTGGTTATTCTCCGGTTATCATAATACCTCATTCCTGTTTCATCCGTTGGCTTCTATGCTACAAAAACATACCTACTCCTAGATAGAAAATAAATGAAGGAATTGATAAGTAAACAACGCTAAAAGGGGAATAAGTGAGAAAGCGTGAATAAAGCTTGGGATATTTCTCTACGAAGCCAAAAACTCAGCATAAGCTAAAGGAGAAGAATACATGAAAGAAAAATATCAAAATAAGCAAGTTAAAAGCGGTATAGATCCTAGAGGAAGCACAGGAAGGAAAAAAAAATTACGAAGCGTGGCTGCCAAAGCGTAAGAAAAAAAAAAAAAAAAACTGGGCCAGTTTGCACGAGATTTGGGGAAAAGGTTAGATCAGGAGCATCTCGAGGAGGTGTCACGGCCTGTGATTCTATTTTTGGAAAAAAAACGTCCATGGGGTTCATTCTGATGACGTCACCAAAGTTACGGATTCTTTGTGAATATGGTCGATCCTTTTTGGTCTCTTAAATCCTCTAAAAGGATGGAAAATAATGATTTTAAGGGATATATTTTCACTGAACAATCATCAAAACATTCGCCATGACACCTCGAGTTACTACTGATCTAGCCTTCCCCATGAGCTTTGTCTCGAAAGGCTTCAGTTCCTCGATTCGCGTGAGTCGAGCGAACCGGGATTCGAAAGCTTCGAAAACCTCGTTCTAAAGACGAACCAAATGGGACCTCATTTCTTACCTTTGATGCCAAGGAAGCGCTGGAGAAGGCGTCGGAAATGTTGAAGGACCTGGTAGGGGAGGAGAGGTCAAACATTGACCCCCAGGTACCACTGCGAAGGAGATAAAGAACAAACGTATTATCAGCATCACGTATAAAGCATCCATGCTATATGCCACACCTAATAAGGACATACCTATCGAAATGCGAGTGTCGATAAGGTTGTCCCTTACACACTTAATCATACTACCAGCGTCCTTGGGCACTATATGTGAGCTAATAAAGACACACTAACGCCATCTATTATTCATTAAGAGCTCTAATAATTAGATTACAAACCTGCTTGTGTACATGGACGCCGGTCGCTGTCTGCTCGTGCTGCGTTCTCTGTACCTTGATCCTGAAGAGGAAATTTTCACACCGTGAGCTCGAGCATCGTACAAAAAACAATAGTTTGTTTACGTTTAAGCTTCTAAGATCTTTTTTTTTTTTTTCGAGATTGCCACGTCAAGTAATGAACAGGTTTAGTTTATTACGGAAACTATGGATTAGACTTGGGATTATAGCGTGAAGACAAAATTACACGACTTTGTTCTAAAAATATTACAGAAGTTTTATTGGGTCTTTTCATTGGCTCAGCTGAGAGAAGTGTAATATATTGAATATTCAATAATAATGTTTTGTCTTTCCATTCCTACTACAAAGATGTGTTCAATTCATCAACTTGTGTTTAATTTTCTGCTTCAGTTGACGTTAAGACAAAGGATGTTATATATACCCGACAGCATCATATATAAGCAAAGGCACTGTACGCTGTAATATTATGTTTATGTTAGTATATGAATCTGTCTTGATTTACCTGTGTCTGTCTGTCTAAATAACCTGTTTGTTTACTTGTTTCTCGGTATCAGTATCTATCTGCTTTTCTATCAATATATCTATTTTGATTTTTCTATCTAGCTATGCAGATAACGTGTGTGTGTGTGTGTGTGTGTTGTGTGTGTGTGTGTGTGTGTGTGTGTGTGTGTGTGTGTGTGTGTGTGTGTGTGTGTGTGTGTGTGTGTGTGTGTGTGTATATGGGCTATGAGTGGTGGGTATATATGGATGTATAACTGTCTGTGTGCGTGTCTGCATGCTTCTATGTATACATGCATTTCTGTATATACGTGGGACGTGTGTATATCCATCCAGGATGCATCTAATATCAAAATCAATCCATACATTAGTTGCTGAAAGGCCTTGAATAAACATGCACCTTTGGGGTTGTTAATCCCAGCCCAATCTTGCCGTAAGATTGCATTCATCAATTTTTTTTTTTTTTTTTTTTTTTTTTTTTTTTTTTTTTTTGAACGGGTTTTTTGGAGCATAAAAGATCTTGGCGAAAGGGTTAGTATCAGAGAGCGAGAGAGAGAGAGAGAGAGAGGCGGTGGGAGGAGGATGCGCGTGTAAAATGACCCCGCGTCTGCAATTGCTTCGGTCTAGCTTGCAACGTGAAGCAACGTCCAGTGAGGTTGTGGCCAATGGTGGTGGGTGGAGGGGAAGACTGTGAGACTTTTTTTTCTATGTCATTTTGCTAATGTTTTTTTTTTTTCCTTACGTTATTCTATCTTATGAGAGATGGAGTTTATTTTTTTTTTTTTAAAGGGGAGGTTTCAAAGAAATGGGGGGGGTGATAAAGGGTGTTGCGAGGGGATGGGGGAGGGGAGGGGAGGGAGATGGGGGACACTTCATCATCATCATCATCATTATCATTATCATGAGGATCATTCACCAAGGCTTCTTTCACAGAACTCTTTACCAGACTCGTTAGCGACGTGGGAGAAACTATTCTTGTTTAGCGCCGCTCGAACCTCCATCAGGAGTGTATTGTTGTACCTCGTTCTACCTCTATCTACACCACACATCTCTGAATCTAGTTCGCCTCCGTTATCTGAGTCACCTCCGTTATCTGTAAGAGAAGCAGGTCAAAGTTCACACACCGCTCCCACCCCCTCCACCCCCCACCCCCACACCCTCCTCTCGTGTCGTGGCGAGGTCGTTCCTCGTGTCTCAAGTGTGTCGTGTTTTGTGAGGGTCGTCGTATGAGTGTGACGGCACTGATTCTCAACAGCTGTGAGGTCGGGGTGGCAAAAACACTCCTCCGTGTTGTCGTTAAGGTAGAGAACCACACGATAGACAAGCAAGATTTATATCTAAAAAAAGTGAGAAAAGTGAGACCATTGTTTTCGAAATCCTTCTGAGCTTCATGATCTGAAGGCGAGATGTAGGAGGATTTCGAAATCCTTGTCTCACGCTTTTGCAATAAATCTTGTTTGTGTATGGCGTTTGTCTCGTGCCAGCTGTATCGGCGGAATTGTCTAGTGAGAGAATCAGTCACAGAAATCTTAGTGGTTCTGTGTGTATGTGTGTGTGCGTGAATGCGAGTGTGTGTGTGTGTTTAAATGACGTGTATGTGTCTTTTTAGATGCGAGGGAAATCTCATTATGTGGAAGAAAATTAAAACTACATAGAAAAAACAAAAAGAAGCTTTATATAGAGACTAAAGAGTATCTACTGCCTTTTTGTCTAAAGTATTCGTCAATTTTTGAGTTAAGGTTTCACTACATGGCACCGCAACCAAACAAAATTAAAGGAAATGCGCATCTACGTGTGTGGATATGTGGAGAGAGAGAGAGAGAGAGAGAGAGAGAGAGAGAGAGAGAGAGAGAGAGAGAGAGAGAGAGAGAGAGAGAGAGAGAGAGAGAGAGAGAGAGAGAGAGTGAGTGATTAGAAGAGATAGAGGAAGAAGAGAGAGAAGAGAGACGAGAGGAGAAGAGAGAGCGAGAGTAAGCACCTAATGAGGAAGAGAGAGCGCGCGCGCAGCGAGCCGCGTTTGACCTGTGCTGTGTGTATGTGAGGTGTAAGCCGAGCCGCCGGACGCGAGAGACGACGAGGACTCCATACTGTTGCTGTGCAGGACCTCTCGGGATCCCCAGCGGCGGGAGAGGCTGGCGTTGTCGCCGTAGAAGGTCCTCGACTCCTTGATGCTAGAGGCACGCTCGAGACGACGGGACACGCGGATGCCGTCGCTGAAGGACGAGCGGTCGTCCTTGACGGACTGCGACCTGCGGCGGGAGGGAGAGGGACGTGTCAAGCGCGGCTGGTCCGTTCGTAGGGATGCCTTCTGGGTTCCTTGCTCAAAAGACACTCTGCGCCTCGTCTCCATTAATTCACTGATTTATTGATTATCATTTGATTATTGGTTATTGACACGTCAGGAGATGGGAAATCGTGTCTCTGGCCGTGGAAACACTCCCGATCCCAGAAGTGAGTTATACTAACATTCTCCCCGACTTTTTTTCTCCCTCTTCTCCTTCCCCCTTCCTCCCCCCCCCCCCCCCTCCCCTCCCTTCCCCTTCCCTCCTTCCCCTTGTCTCCCTCGGCCCTTCCCTCCCCTTCCACCTGCCCCCCCCCTCCCTCGCCCCCTTCCCCTGCCTCCCTCCCTCGCCCCTCCCCTACCTCTCCATTCGCCTGATGCGGTGCGCCTCATAGTCGTCCTCGGCGTCGTCGTCCTTGCCGAAGGACTCCGGCGGGGACGGCGCAGGTCCCTTGTTGTGGCGCGCTGGGGCTGAGGTCTTGCCCTTAGGCGTGGCGGGCTGCTCCAAGGGCGCGGCGCTTCGAAGCGAGGGCGGCTGGAGCGCGGCCTCACACATGGTCTGGAAGGCAAAGCGCGGAATGAGTCATCTGTGAGGCTTCGGCTCCTCGTCGTGAGTAAGGGTCGGTTCGAGAAGGATCTTTTTTTCATGAGGATGAGTCGTTGCAGAATGTCTCAAAGAGCAGATGGTTTTCGTTCTTTTAGTGAACATTAGCAAGAGTTTGCTCTAGAACATAATGCATGGCTCTCGCTTTGTTCTTAACAATCTATGTATACACACACAGTAGTACACGGCAAGAATCAACAAGAAGTGATGATGCATATACAGTCTTAAAGAACAATGATAAACGAAAATGTGCTTTACCTGATGGCTTCGAAACTTATCAGGAGAGAATACCTGTTTACAGAATTCACAGGGTATTAACTCCTCGATCTCCTTGGACATGAGGCCGTTCATCATGGTCTTGCTGTCGAATTTGATGACGCCGTTCACGTATCCGTTGGCCAGCGTCTTCTCCGGCGCGGGCGTGGGCGAGGTCGTGGGCGGCGGGCTGGCGGCCTTGTTGCTCATGAAGGCCTTCTCCCACGGCGTCGGGCTCTTGATGTAGCCGTTGATGTTGGGCGTGGGCGAGGGGGACGTCTTCAGGTTGGGCAGGTTGGGGAGGTTGGGCGGCGTCTGGGGCGGAGGGGGAGCCCGGTATTTGTGCGGGTTCTTGATGAAGACGGTCTCGGCGTGCTCCTGCGTCGGCTGCGGGGACGCCGACGGCTGCTTCGTCTGTGTGTCGGGGGCGGAGGGCTGTGGCGACGTGGTCTTCTGTGACGCTGTGCTGAGCTGCGGGGAGGAGGAGGACGGCTGCGGCGAGGTTGCGGTCTCGATGTCGGGACTCGGGCGGTGTGCGGGCAGCTGCGTCGCCGAGCGGCTGGTGATGACCGGCTGCACCTGCGTCGTTTCTTCGTCAGCGCCGGTGTCCTCCAGGGGGGCGGTGTTGGAGCGCGTGTAGCCCCTTCTGCTGCCCGAGATGCTGCGCCACGAGAAGATGGCGGAGGACAGGAGGCGGCCGCGCCGTGGCCGCATGAAGGGGCCGTCCTCGTCCTCGTAGTCGTACTCGAGGTCGGTCGTCGGGGTGTCCGGGGGTGCCAGCTCGGGCGTGGCACTGATGGCCGGCACGGGCGAGGCCGAACTGCTCGTGGAGGGCGTGGTTGAGACGGAACTACTGCTCATGGATCCGCTGCTGACGGAGCTGTTGCTTGTCGAACTCGAGGGCGCCGGGCTGACGCTGAAGGGCCGGTTGCTGCCAGCGCTCTGGCTCGGAGACACGACGACCGACGGCTTCTGGTCGACGATGGTGATGGTGGTGGTGGGCGGCGGGCTGACGGGCGGCGGGCTGATCGAGGGCGGGCAGCTGGGCGGAGGACTGGTGGGCGTGCTCACTGGGCTGACGCGAGATGTGTCCCTCGAACTCCTCCATCCTGAGGAGTAACTCCTGGAGGGGCCCGGGGAGGCAGGAGTGGGACTTCTCCTCGAAGACCCAGACGACTGACTTCGGGGCGGGACGGGCGCGGGGCTCTTCGAGGGCGCCGTGGCTTTCCTGGGCGGCGCGCACACCGGCGTCGGGGTCCTGCCGGGGGTGGGGGCGTGGGGGCGGGACTCCTTCTCGGCGAGGACGAGGCTGTGCTCTGGATCCTGGACTGGATCGAGGAGGACTGGACAGAGGACGTCTCAACGGTGGTGTTCGAGGAGGTGGTGGTCGTGATTCCAGAGGAGGAGGTCGTGGAGGTGCTGGAGCTCATGGCGGCTGCGGCTGCCGCTGCGGCCGCGCGCTGGGCGATACGGGAGGCGCGGGGGAGCTGCGTCTCGTTCTGCTCGCAGCTGGTCTGGTGCCGCATGAGGTCGCGCTCAGCGAACATCTCGTCGCAGAACTCGCAGGGCAGCATCACGGGCGCCTCGCGACGGATGGCGGGCTGAAAGAGAGGAAAAGATGAGTAAACGTGCTTGTAGATTCATTTACGATTATTCGAGCATGATCTCGTGGTTACATTTAGGCCTATCATGAGGAGGATACTTACTCCGTCTTCCTTGAAGGACACCCTCTTCTTGAGGCCGGCATTCTTGGGCCGAGCGCCTGTGCTGAGGGCACTGCCGCTGTTGCTGGTGCTGCTGGAGGCGTTAGAATCGCTTGAGGATTTACTGATGGGTGTGCTCCTGCTGGAGGAAGACGACGACGACGACGACGAAGAGTTTGTGACGGTGCGAGGAGACGCTGGGGGGCGTCGTGAGCTCCTGCGTGACCTTGGCGAATCCGAGTCCTCCGAGTCGCTGCTGTCGGACGAGCTGTCCTGCTGGAGAACGAGAGAGAAACAAGCGCGATCCCGGTGCAAAAAATCCGCGAATGAGGCGTCAGAATGCATGAGAAAAAGCGGTCGCGAAAAAGGCTCGAACTGAACACTCACTGCGCGCTCTGGCATGGAGAGGGACCTCCTGAAGGTCGGTCGGTGCTTCTTGTTGAACTCTGAAGGAGGCAGATCGTCCTCGGCCTTGGCAAGCTGGAAGGCAAGCCACCTGTCGTACTGTTCTTGAGTTGCGTTCGCTGGCGGCTCGACGTCGCGAGAGCCTGAAGGAAGGAAGGGGAGAGGTGAGAGGCAAAGAGAAACGGAAATAAGATCGTATATTTGATTATTTTGAAACTATTTACCAGTATTACAATATCGTCGCCTTCAGAGGTCTGTGTTTCGGCTAGCATCACTTACCGCTTGAACGAGAGGAAGCTGAGGAGGACGTGACGGAGGCCGAGACGGAGGACATGACCGCTGTCGTCTCAAGGGCGAGAGAGGTCGGCCTCCGAGGACGAGCACCGTTGGAGTACGACGAGTAAGATGAGCTCGAGGTTGAGGACGAGGATTCGGAGGAAGAGGTAGTTGTCGAGGAGGTAGATGAGGATCTGGCCACGGACCGGGTACTCACGGAGGAGGACGTTTTGCTGGTACTCGACGACGAAACCTTTTCGGAAGAGGTGGAGCTGGAGGTCGACACGGAGGAGGCTGGCGGAGGCTTCGACACAGAGCTGGTGGTGGTGGTGGAGGTGGTGCGCGCCGTGGACGCCGTGGGTGAGGAGTGGCGGTGGTGGACGAGGACGACGTGGTGGACTTGGACGAGGAGCAGCAGCAGTCGTCGTCCTTGGAGTCCGTGTCCTTGCAGGAATCCTTGCAGGACTCGGAGCCGGAGTAAGGCGTGTAGGAGGGCGGCGTGTGGGTGTTGGCGGGGCGCTGGTACCGGTACGACGTGGAGGAGGTGCGGCTAGAGAGGAGGGCGGACACCATGTCTGGGGGGGGGGGGGAGAGGAGCGTCAGTAAGGGGTTAAATCGCCTTTCCAGTAGGTCTATTTTCTTCTTTTTCTCTCTTTGTTTTGCTTTTCTCTTTTCTTTTGTTTTTCTCTTCTCTCTCTTTCTCTCTCTCTCTCTCTCTCTCTTTCTCTCTCTCTCTCTCTCTCTCTCTCTCTCTCTCTCTCTCTCTCTCTCTCTCTCTCTCTCTCTCTCATCCTCTCTCTGTACAAACACACACACATACACGTACATATATATGTATATATATATTATATATATATATATATATATATATATATATATATATATATATATATATATATATATATATATATATATATATATATATAGCTAGATAGACAGATGTACATTGGCATGCATGCCTCCCGCCCCACTACACTCACCATCATAGTCCTGTGTGGTGCGAGCTACACGTCGGGAGGAACTGCTGTACGAGGATGAGGTCCTACTCGGGACGCTGTGACTTCGCTGGGTCTTCTTCTCGCGTGGTTTGTTGACGTAGTTCTTGATGATGTCCTCCTCGCGACAGAATCTGTGGGCGGGAAGGTGGAGTGAGGAGAGGAGGAGATAAAGTAGGGTGGGGAGAGAGGTACAGAAAGGGAGAAGGAAGAGAAAGGGAGATGGAAGGAAGGAATGAGAGGGAGAGTTTTTCATAGTGTTAGAAGTAGTTTGTGTGTGTGTGTGTGTGAGTAGGTTATGTGTATAATGTTTGTGTGTGCAATTGTTGTTGTGTTGTGTGTGTGTGTGTTTGTGTATCTGCTTGTGTGGCCGTTTGTGTGTGCATGCATATATGTACACCTATTATATCTTCAAAAAAAAAAAAGTCTGATTGGACATACCTAATATCCATAAGCATATCCCGAGGAATATCTCTCCTGCAGATGGCGCAGTTCTTGGTGGTGTTGGCGATGCCCTTGACACACACCATGCAGAAGGTGTGGCCGCACTCCAGCACGAGGGGGAGGGTCACGGGGCCCAGGCAGATGGGGCACTCCGACCCCTCCTCGTCAGAACTATTCTCCTGGTCTGAGGGAGGGAATACTTAGCTTAGAATCAGTGAGGTTTTGAAGGATAAGATGAAGTTGGGATCTTGACGAAGATCTATTCGAAACCGGTTCAATATATCTCTTCTATTGTGAAGCTATTCAATCTCATCCATACATTTTCTACGTGTATCTTTGCCTTTAATTCCCCAAAATCAAAAATATCTCTTCGTGTATTCCATCTATTTTAATTTCCTATGTATCTATGCTTTTCCCTCCAGAGTATTTTTTTAGACATTCATTTGTCTTATTATTTTGTTTCTCTTCTCTCGTGTGCATTTACCTGGTTCGTGAAGATATTCATTCTCATTCATACCTTATGGTTCGTGAAGATATTCATTCTCATTCATACCTTATGGTTCGTATATTCATTCTCATTCATACCTCGTGATGGTTCGTTGAAGATATTCATTCATTCATGGTTCGTGAAGATATTCATTCTCATTCATACCTTATGGTTCGTGAAGATATTCATGGTCATTCTCATTCATACCTTATGGTTCGGAAGGATAGCCGCCGTTGAAGGATGGACGGGTACATTGGACATGAGGAATACATACTGCTTGTGATCATACTCGTAGTGGAACTGAAGGTACTTGAACTGGACATACTTGGTGCAGCCCTTGCAGAGTTCCGTCCGAGACTCACAGTAGTCGACGTGGCGCTGGAACTCCTGGGCGATCACCTCCAGCTCACAGTGTTGGCACTTCATGAGGCGTCGCGGGCACTCCTCCTTCTGCGGCGAAAGAGGAGGGGGGGGTGATTTAGATTTAGATAAGAGTGATACTACGTCCTAGATGACAAGAGGGAAGGGTGATTAGAATCTCTCGTTCTACAGGAGGACAGGAAGAACAATTTGTGGTGATTCCTCCACCTTCAGAAGAGAATAGAGGCGGCTGATTGTGATGTTCTAGGATAGAATATGATTGTGATCTTTAAAATTCTGTTGGAAAAGGAGGAACCGTCTCTGATTCCTCCTCCTACAGGAAGACAGGAAAAACAGCTCGTGATTTTCTTGAGGAGCGAAAGGAAGAGAGAGGTTTGGGGTTGTGTCTTAAGAGATAAGTAGAGTCAACGCTTTACTCTAATCCCAATCTCTAAGCTCAGTCGCATCAGCTTTGCCTCCGACTGGGAAGCGGGAGAAGAAGTGGAAGGGAAAACGGAAGTATGAAGAATGAGGAAGAATGACACAAAAAAAAGAAAGAGAATAGAAGAAAATGCAAGAGAAAAAATAGATCTGTCTCATACCGCGGTCCCATAAATCGAGCGGAGAAGGTTAACTCCTCTCTCTCCCTCCCCTCTCCCTCCCTCTCCCCCTCCCCCTCTCTCCGCCCGTCCAGACACGTGCTTCAGAAACGACTTTGGTCTGAATATCCCATTTCCTGGGACGACCTTGTGCTCTGAAGTGGCCCCCTTTCCCAGTTTCCTTGAAATAGTTTCTTTTTTAATTAAGATTTTTTTATTCCCAATATCAACCTACCCGCCTGTGATTTTCCCTCCCACGTCTGGCTCTCTATAAATAGCCAAGACTCTATGGAAACGTGTAGAGGGAAAAGGAAACATGACGAGTGTACAAAATAAGAGCCCGGACGGATTGGCACAGTGCCTCGTGACGTCAGCTCTAGCCCAGTTGGTTCCCTCGGGGCTTCGAGGCTCCCGGCGAGAGTACAGACTTCCCCCGCAATGCCACAGGGGCTAGAAATTGTGACATTATCCTATATCAAATTCTAAGTCTTAATATAGTCTCTCTCTCTCGAGGCGTTCTTCAGGCTTTCCTCGCCTATTAGCCCAGGATGCTAGATGCCTCAATATAGACCAAAAACTCCGTCTAATTAAATGGAAAGAAGGTATATTTAAGCTCTCATTACAAAGCGAATTAGCTCGGGGTTCCACAGTTATGTAGGATCAAAAGCTGCTTCTTCAGGAAACAGTTTTAGATCGCTTGCATAAACAACCGCTATACAATACGTGGAGGTCTAATAAGCTTGTAAAAGGTGACATTACGTTCCCTTTAC